ACTACAATAAACTCAAGACTGGAATCCATCAATAAGGAAATATGCAATGTTTAAAAATTAAAATATCTTAGGACTTCCCTGGTGGCACAGGGGTTAAGAATCTGCCTGCCAATGAAGGGGACACGGGTTCGAGCCCTGGTCCAGGAGGATCCCACATGCTGCGGAGCAACTAAGCCCGTGCACCACAACTACTGAGCCTGCGCCCTAGAGCTCATGAGCCCCAACTACAGAAGCCCGCATGCCGAGAGCCCATGCTCCGCAGCAAAGAGAAGCCACTGCAATGAGAAGCCCGGGCACCGCAACAAAGAGTAGTCCCTGCTTGCCACAACTAGAGAGAAGCCTGCGTGCAGCAATGAAGACACAACGCAGCCAAAAAAATAATAAAATAAATAAATAAAAATATCTTTAATAAAAGAAAAAGTTTTTTTATATAAATAAATACCCATAAAACTGAATATGGGAGCATGGTGAAGATTATTTGTTTATGGATAAAAATAGAAAGAACCAGAGGCATTCTCTTTAGAAAGTAAACTACACACACGCCTGTTAGAATTAAAGGGATGAACAATGTTTTGTAATATAGACCACAGCATGGTCACAGAAGTAAATAGTGACAGGAGGCTTCGAGAATTTATCAGAAAACATCTGGTTTAAAGACAGTGGATCAAAGATTGCATTTTCCTACTTTTCTTTTGGAAAATATCCCAAAGCAATTTGAACAACTCATCTTTGATGAAATTAGGAGATATCTATAATATCAAATCACAATATATAAAATATATGGAAAAAAGGCTGCCGAATGTAGTAAAAGGAAAATGGAAGTGCAGGAAGGTCTTTAAGGGGTGTAGAAGTTTCCCATCTCAGGTATCGCTTGTAAGACAAGTAAGCGGCATGTACTGAGGGCCACTGCTTTCGTTTTTAAAGCAGGAGAATTGTGTGCAGAGGCTGATGGTGGCCATTTTCCTGGATCCAGTTGGCATGACAAAGAAGCAGGTAGGGAGCAGCGAATAGAGGATACTACCTAGAACTCCTATGTGTAGAAGCCATCAGGAAGCCAGAGGATGAAGCTGAGAGAATCTGCAGTGGGAGCAGCTGCAGTCTCAGTTGGCCAAGACAAGAAAGTCTGAAAGAACTTCTTGCTCTTGCAAGAAAAGCCACTTTCAAAATAACTAATCATCTAAAAGGAGCAGCTAACAATCTATGCACAGTGACTAAAAAGTAAAGGAAAGGAGATACCACGGTATAAAATAGAAGTGATAACAAATAAGTAGAAAAACAGTTTAATGAAGGAATTGCCTTTACTGGAAAACAGAAGAGATACAAGATCTCAAAGAAGATATGGTAAAAATAACAGCAGCTGGCAGGGCTCAAGAAAGATGTGGAATTGAAAAAAATCAATCTATTGCAGAACTGAAGACCACATTGAAAGCAACACAGTAGAGTATAAACCTGGCTGAAAACATAGTAACACATATGTGGACAAAGTGATGAAAACAGATAAGACACAAGATAGAAGAACCATGACTGAAAAATGGTTCAAGAGAATATATAAATATGCAAGGCTGATAAAGGAGATCCAACGTATATATAGTTGGTGTTTCTGAGAGGAAAACCAATACAATAAATAAAAAATACACAAAATTCAAAGACATTTTCCAGAAATGAAAGTACCCACCATGTCAGAGGAAAAAATGACATAGAATGACCAGCATTGAGGCATATCCTAATAACGACACTGTACTTCAAAATTAAAAATTCTTTTGATATCCAGACATAAAGATTAAGTCACCCATAAGGGGAGAATAGTCAGGTGGTCCTCATATTCTTCCACAGCAATAGCTGATGCGGAGATAACCAGTAGAATAAGATTAGGATTCTTCCAAATCAACAACAATAAAATATGTGGACAAATTAGAGTCAGCAGAACATACACACAAAGACTATCTCTATCTATCGACCTATCTATCTATAGTATCTTTATATATTTATAATTATATGTATTATGTATATAACATATATAATCAAATATAAAACATGATAAATGAATAAAGACTTAAGTAGTGTAATGTCAAAGTAAACTGACCAAACTACACTTTTAAAAGTAGAAGATTCTCAATATTAGCTTCCAAAGCCAAACCCTAGCTATGTGTTATGTACGTGTGCTACACCTAAAACATAAGTGATCAGAAAGTTGGAAAAGAAAAGGTAGGTAAACACATAGCAGCAAATGTGCACAAAAAGAAAATAGGGTCATGAACTTCATGATAGCCAAGGTCAACATGTAACCAAACAAAAGGGCACTTTACAATGGAGACTAACAGTTATGGATACACACACACACGCACACACACACGTATGTATATATATATATATATATATTTATATTTCTAATGATAATATATATCAATACCTAAACATTACATAATATAGCATCAACATTAATAAAGCAAAAATTATAGAAAAAAAAGTAAAGAAATGTTTCGTGTAGGAAACTTCAGTTCACTTTTCTGAGCCATAAAGAAGAGGAAACAAATAGAAAGGTAATAATAACAATAGCTAACCATTTTTTAAGTCTCTCTATGCACAAACCACAAATTTAAGTGCATTAAAATATGTTAATGGATTTAAGCATTTTAAGAAACTAATGATGTGAGAACTCTAATCATAACCAGTTTACAGATGAGGGAAATTAGACACAGAGAGGTCAAATATCATATTTAAGGTAAAACGCTAGTAAGTAGTAAAGCTGGAAACTTAGAATTCACTAGTTTCCTCCACAATTTGCCCTTTTAACCACTGTTACCTTCCATGGGAAAGAGGCAAGGGAAGTAATAATTATGTAGATATATTTGCTACGAAAAAGCTTTTTTCTGCCTGGAATACCTTCTTTCCAAATGCATATCTGTCACAAATATTGAACACATATTACTAGATCGTGAAGAAAATCTCTAAACATTCCCCAAAGTAGACAGAGTACAAATAAAATTCTGACCACCAAGCAGTAAATCTCAAAATTATATTGCTATGAAAAAAAGTATCAATATTTTAAAGTAACATTCCCTTACATAACTTTTTAGATACAGAAGAAATGAAAATGAAATAATACTGATAATGAAACACACTTATCAAAATGTGTGTGGAACATTTAAATCAGTACTAGAAGAAAACTCCCTGGTCCTTTATCTAAAGGTAACTTTTTCATGTATACCTTCAATCATATCCCCCGTGCATTCTCAGAAATAATCCACTGTTGATTATCCCTTTTCTCTGTTGTATTTTCAAGCCCACGTTGCCCTGTAAGGCTTCTTCCCATTGGCTTTTAAATATGGACAAGATTTTCCCATTGGAGACCTCTCAGCCCCTTCAGCTACTTGTCTCCTTTTCACAGTCCAACATCTTGAAAGAGTTGAACATATTTAATATCTTAGGTTTGATATTCCTCAGCCCACTAAAATATGGCTTCCAGTGTCAATATGCCTTGAAACGGCAATATGCCTCTATACTCTGAAACAGTTTCTACAGCCAACTCCATGTTGCTAAACGAACATTTCTGCATCTTCCTCATTTCTTAGTCACAAGAATGCTGCTGATCATTTCTTCCCTCTTAAAATACTCTCTTCCTCTGGTTTCCGTGACACACAGCACTCTTTGTTTCCCTTCTACCGCTCTGGCCACTCCTCCATTTCTTCTGTAAGCTCGTCCTTTCATGCCCTGTTGTCTCTAGACTTGGACCCCACCCCCTTCCTAGCTTCCAGCTTTTCCTTAGCTCCCAAGTGCTCTCATTCTACAGCCTCTTGCTAGAAAACCCGAACCACATTCATGACTTTCATCACGACGTTTAGGCAGCTAGCTCACTTTTTTTTTTTATGGCTAGCCCAGAAGTCATTATCATAGGCATCCGAGCTGCTGTAACAGAACACCAGAGAGAGAATGGCTTATAAACAACAGAATCTAATTTCTTACAGTTCTGGAGGCTGGGACGTCCAAGATCAATGTACCAGCAAAATTTCTGTCTGCGAAGGGCCCACTTCCTGGTTCTCAGACAGCTGTGTTTTTGCTGTCTCCTTACATGGCATGATGGAAGGGCCCATGGAGCTCTCTGGGGTCTCTTTTACAAGGGCACAAATCCCATTCATGAGGGCTCTGCCCTTATGACCTAATCACCTCCCCAGGGACCCACTTCCAAAACCATCACAATGAGGATTATGATTGCAGCATATGAATTTAGGGGGGACACAAATATCCAGTCCATAACAGTCATTGAGCTTCAGATCTATATACAACACTGACTAATTTCAATGAGAGCTCGAATTCAGTATGTCCAAAACCAAACCCACGATCTCTCTTCCTGTTCAACTGTCTCAGTGAAAGACACTTTCACCAACTCAGTTTCTGAAGCTAGAACTTAGAAGTCATATTGAATAGCTCTCTCTCCCTATACTTTCCCATGTTTAATGTTACAGAACTCTGTGGATTTGATTCCTTAAATGTACTCTAAATCTCTCCAATTCTTTCCATATTTACAAGTTCTGCTATAGGTCAAGCTTAAATTGCTATAAAGCACTTAACATATATTACTAAGTTCTGGATAATAAAAATTAAAGGGGAAGATGGCGGAAGAGTAAGACGTGGAGACCACCTTCCTCCCCACAGATACACCAGAAATACATCTACACGTGGAACAACTCCTACAGAACACCTACTGAACGCTGGCAGAAGACCTCAGACCCCCCAAAAGGCAAGAAACTCCCCACGTACCTGGGTAGGGCAAAAGAAAAAAGAATAAACATAGACAAAAGCATAGGGACGGCCCTGCACCAGTGGGAGGGAGCCGTGAAGGAGGAAAGGTTTCCAGACACTAGAAGCCCCTTCGCGGGCGGAGACTGCAGGTGGCGGAGGTGGGGAAGCTTCGGAGCCACGGAGGAGAGCGCAGCAACAGGGGTGCGGAGGGCAAAGCGGGAAGATTCCCGCACAGAGGATCAGGGCCGACCAGTACTCACCCGCCCGAGAGGCTTGTCTGCTCACCCGCCGGGGCGGGCGGGGCTGCGAGCTGAGGCTCGGGCTTCGCTCGGAGCGCCGGGAGAGGACTGGGGTTGGCGGCGTTAACACAGCCTGAAGGGGCTAGTGCGCCACAGCTAGCTGGGAGGGAGTCCAGGGGAAAGTCTGGTGCTCCCGAAGAGGCAGGAGACTTTTTCTTCCCTCTTTGTTTCCTGGTTTGCGAGGAGAGGGGATTAAGAGCGCTGCTTAAAGGAGCTCCAGAGACGGGCGCGAGCCGCACTGCGCGCCTCAGGCTGGTGCAACGTCATGGCGGCCCCTACCGCCGCAGGCCCGCCCCGCACTCCGTGCCCCTCCCTCCCCCACGGCCTGAGTGAGCCAGAGCCCCGGAAGCAGCTGCTCCTTTAACCCCGTCCTGCCTGAGCGAAGAACAGACGCCCTCCTGCGACCTACACGCAGAGGCGGGGCCCCATCCAAAACTGAGACCAGGGAGCTGTGAGAACAAAGAGAAAGGGAAATCTCTCCCAGCAGCCTCAGAAGCAGCGGATTAAAGCTCCACAATCAACTTGATGTACCTGCATTTGTGGAATACATGAATACACAACGAATCATACTAAATTAAGGAGGTGGACTTTGACAGCAAGATTTATGGTTTTTTCCCCTTTTCCTCTTTTTGTGTGTATGTATATGCTTCTGTGTGAGATTATGTCTGTATAGCTTTGCTTCCACCATTTGTCCTAGGGTTCTATCTGTCCTTTTTTTTTTTTTTTTTTTTTTTTTTACTTTTTTTCCTTTCTTTTTCCTCTTCATAATTATTTTTTTATTATAATAACTTTATTATATTTTATCTTACTTTTATTTTACTTTATCTTCTTTCTTTTTTCCTTCCTTCCCTACTTCCTTCCTTCCTCCCTCCCTCCCTCCTTTCTTTCTTTCTTTCTTTCTTCTACTAATTCTTTCTTTCTACTTTTTCTCCCTTTTATTCTGAGCCATGTGGATGAAAGGCTCTTGGTGCTGCAGCCAGGAGTCAGTGCTGTGC